ATAAAATTGGAGCTCCTGCTGGAGATTTTGAATGGCGTATGAAATTCTTCGCTAAATTCTCGTCAATATATGTCTTGAGTTCAGCCAACTCATCTTGCGATAAACTGTAAATTGGTCCAAATGGTGGCTGAGTTCCTTCCTTGAGATCGATTGAACAATCGTATGGGCGATGTTCAGGAAGAATATCTGCATTCTTTTTCTCAAAAACGTCTTGATAATCCTGATATTGACTTGGAATGCCACTTGAAGTCTTTACGCTTTCAGAAATAGGTGCAGCATAAATAGCAAAAGTTGATCCTTCTTTTGCTGCGTGTATAAATGCTTTTGCACCTATAGGTGCAAGTTTTACTATACTAGACTCATGGTTTTTTACTTGGTTAATAGAACTGTTACTAATGCTCTGAGGAAAATCAAGTTTACGAGAAATCCAATCTATTCGAGGATTATACTTTTCTAACCATGATAAGCCTAAAATTACTGGATTAGAGGGAGATCTAATTATATTAAAAATTACGCAACTACTATGACCATTTATTACTACATCTACAGGAAGTGTTTCGTGAGTTACATCTCCAGAAGACAACGGACGACCATCTATGACTTCTACGTGTACAGGTTTAGTTTTTTGTATTAATGATATTCTATGACATCTAGCAAATTCTTCATCTAAAAAACAAGATGAGGCTCCTGAATCTACCAAGGCAGAGGCTTTGTAATTATTAGGTCCTAAACGCACATCTATTATAAAACAAGGAGATGGTTTTGAGGAGAGGATAGGACCTTTATTAGAAGTTGTACAAGATTCCAGCCGCACGGTCCCTATTGTAGCTGGACGTACTCGTTTTCCGACATACTGTCTTCTTTGACAGCCGTACTCCTCATTTTGTAGTTACGTCGCTTCTTTGGACAATGTTGAGCAGTGTGCTTAGGTTCTCCACAATATAAGCACAATCCTTCTTGTCGACGACGAGACTTTTCTTGCTCAGTAAGAGGTTTGAAACGTACCGCATCAATTTGCATATCTTCTACTTCCGAAGGTATGTGTTGAGGAGACGTCGGTGTTGCCATTGAATTGTAGTAACGTTGAGGCCCACTTGTGCGACTCTCGGATCGAAATTCAAAAAGTCGATTGTCGCACTTCACAGCAAAGTCAATTGCTTGACTCAATGTTTGAGGATCAGGTAAATTAAGCATCAATTTCTTTACCTCATATTGTAATCCGTAGAGAAATTGACTCACAAGTGCAGCATCATCCCACTTGATATCAGTTGCAAGTTGTCGAAATTGCGAAGCATATAATGTTACTGATCGATTGCCTTGTCGCAAAATACGGATCTTGTTGGTTGCAACACGAATTGCATCATGTTCTCCAAACATGGATCGAAACTCCGCCAAAAAAGCCTCCAGATTATCCAATATTGGATCTCGTCGTTCAAGAAAAGATGAAAACCATGACAATGCTGAACCTGAAAGAAGTGTACCAATGAATCTTACTTGTGACCCTGGAGTTGGATAGCTCTGGGATTGAAGTTCAATCACTAGTTGGACCTGATTGATGAATCCTCGAAACTTGGATCTGGTACCATCAAACTTCTCGGGCAAGGCAACTCTCGGTTCTCTAACACTCGAAGGGTGTTCCATTCTGGGAGAAGGGACATGGTTTGGTGGAGATGTTGAAGCAGCCCCAATCATCTCTATATCTTCACTTCCTACCATTCTTGTTGCTCCTTGTGGTGGTAAATTGAGTTGATGCATCGCAAGCATTAACTCCCTCAATTGTTCTTGCATCTGTGCCATTGCACTCTTCATTTCAACAAGCTCTGCCATAGTAGCACTTAGAAAAGAGAAGATGTCTAACAACGCTCAAAACAAATAGAAGAGAGGAATTGATAACAAAGAAAATACTAAGAACAATATCAGTTTAAAAGAGGGTAATCCGCAACTTCTAATGCGCTTATGTCTTATCAAGAAAAAGGGGTAATCCACTCTTAATCAAGAAAAGACAAAGCTCTGATATTGTAAGTGTACTCTTGTCAATCTATCAGGGACAAGAACTCGATGAAAGCTAAAGAGTAAGTGAGACTTTTCTCAAAAAGAAATAGGACAAAATAGAAATATGTATATTAAGAAAGAAACTGGAATGGCTATTGCCAAAATACAAGAAAACTAGAGACCCTTGAAACTAGACTAGAAGCAAGAAAGGAGTTGACAAGAGTGAAGAGGGCTTCACTCTTGCCTCTATATATACTATCTAACTAGAAGCCACGTGGCGATGTTCTATAAGACCTCCAATATATGTTGACTTTCTAGGCCACATGCCTTTGCTTGCAAGGCAAGTTTTCTATGGATAGACCACGTAGTTAGCTTGTTCTTTAAGCTTCCAACATGCGTGGCACATGGCTAACTTGTTGACCAAGTTTCTAACCTAAAAGTCAACTATAGACTCCTATAAAGTCAAAGCAGCATCTATGAAGCTTCTAAGAAGCTTCTCTAGAAGATATTACACAATTAACCTACTTTTACATACTTTTATCTATTCATATAGGTAATTATATGTATGTCCGTGACAGTGGACCGTAGAACCTAGATTACAATAAGCCATTTTTTTTGGGGCATATGAAGTCAAAACAATGCAAATTACATACTATGAGAGGCATGGCACCTTTATTGTGACCATAAGGGCCTAGATTGTAGTAAGCTAGTTGCTTAGAGGTATATTGTGTCAACTAGCCTAGGTTTGAAATCTAGAAATAAACATCTAGTACTACCAAATCATGGAAGGCCACAAGCAAGGGAAAGAACAATAACTTGTAGTTTCTTTGTGAGCTTGCTACTACTTCAAAGAACCACACATGAACATACACTCATACTATCCCATTGAAGCAAAATCCACCTCTACTTTGGTTTTTGCAAAAGAATGTCAAAGCCTCTAAGTTGTTTAGTAACCATATTCCTCAAGAACCACATATCTTTTGAGCAAAAATCAAACAAAGTAACAAACAAAAGAATGTGCAACTTCTAGTTAGGCCTATTGTAGCAACTTTAGAGAAATCACACTACACTCTACTCCACCAAAATGATCTTGTTCATATCTCCATTGCAAGAGTAGAGATTTTTCCTCTAGATATTTGATCAGACTTAATGCAACAACCTAACATATTATGCATATAACTAGCAGCAAAATGCAATTCTTTTATTCTAAAGAATCAAGCAAAAATAATTTTTCCAATCCTGGATACTACAGCACATGAGCATTGAAATTGAAGGCAAGCTACAATAAAACTAAGAAACTATTAAACTAAGAAGTTTTCACAACAAAGGAGTGAGAGAAATAAGAAAAACACTAGAGTTGAATGTCATTATCTCTCTATGTGGTGGTGTGGATCACTTGACGCAAGGCAAACCCGCCACCAAAGAGACATTGCTGACCTAAAGAGAGGTTACTAAAGAGAGAAATCTACTCTCTTCTATGAACAAGAGTGCCCCTGTCCTTGGAAGAGATAAGAGCACCTTTGCTTCTACAAAAGACATATCACTAATAAAGCATATGCAGAAATAATTTTTTTATTGTTATTTCCACACCATGATTTAAATTAAACAAAAATATTTTGAAAAAAATAATAATAATTCTAATCGCAAGCTATATAATTATATCAATTACAAAAAACTATCACACATTAATTGTGCATATTTTTTGCATTATTTTTCATGTAATCCAACATTAGGTCTTATTTTCAATAATTTCATACTTTTACATCATACTATTTCATTGATTAATCATAAAACTACATCTTTGTAGTTTTTGATTGAAAATATGTATATATACAATCATTACTAAAAACAAGTATAAAAAATAAATTGAAGTTTTTAAAGAAAATCCATATAAATTTAGAATACAATCCGAATTTATAAATATTTTTTGACATATCTGTACTTATACAATTTGATACCTTAATGATTGTTTCAAATTAAACTATGAAGTCGCAACAATCATAAATATACTAATATACTTAACACTAAATGCAAATATTTTGAGTCGAATTTTGATGTGGTTTAAAACATTAATAAAAAGATATTTTGACTAAATTAGATATATAAAATAAAAATAAAATATAAGATAAATTGGAAACATTTTGAGTCGAATTTTGATGTGATTTAAAACATTAATAAAAAGAGATTTTGACTAAATTAGATATATAAAATAAAAATAAAATATAAGATAAATTGGATTCTTATTGACAACTCATTTGTGATTTTTGCAAGTTATAAATTTTACTAAGTTTTCCAATCTTTTAGAATTAAAAACACCAACATTATTATCTTCAAAAAATGTCTTAAAGACATTGGTTCTATTATCTCAATTGAGTCTACATAAACTTATATATGGATTAATATGAGATATTTAAGTGCAAATAGATTCACATGCTTTAAGAGTTGTAAGCACTAAGATTAATGTATTATGAGTTGTAATTTACTAGCATTAGTATCAAGAAGGTTGCTTCGAAGGCTAAGATCAATTATATGTAATAAGTAGATATTTCATAATTATTCTTACAACACTGTAGATTTACCTAAAGAATCGTGTGATTGCACAAATCTAAAACAATGGTTTTGATTTTTTTTGATATATAGGTGTTTGAAATTTGAAACAAAACTCAATATTTTACAAAACATTATTAACAAAAGAAAACAATCTATATTTTAGTTTTGTCTCCTATGCATTAGTTACTTTTGACAAATTACTTAAATTTCTTTGTATCTTAGAAGACAAGGTAGAAAGTTGTTCTTGTTATTATAAATAATAATTCAATTTTCTCACTAGATATTATTTTTTTTATTGGTTCCAAAATCTATTTTAAACTTTTTTTAGATTAATTGAAGAGCAAAAACAAATACAAAAAGAATACTCTAGCAAAAGTATTTGATATATTTATGATAGCAATTTAGTGTATCAATATTGCTTTGTTTGTGTTTGTTTTGGAAGAATATTACTTTATGTATATAAAGACGAAGAACTTTATTTTATTTACAGTCAATGAAATACACGTTCCTATATTCTCCAAATGGAAATATGGTTAAACAATAAAATCATTTCCAAAATTTTCCTTGAAATCTCTGTGATGCAACTACTAAATTTTGATTCGACACAAATTTCTTGAAAGATCTCAAAAGCGCACTGCTAACATAAACCACTAATGCTCCAGAGTTTGGAGATAGTTGATCACTTGAGGGTAGACGTCTACTTGAGCCTGGGTTCCCAGCACAAAATCGGAATGGCCGTAGTTGGAAAGGTAATGGGAGGAAACCCGGCACCGCAGCTCTCCTGCCAACCTCTTCACATCGATGGGATCCGCAAGGGCATCTTGTCCGCCTGACACCATCAGTAGGCTCATGGTGCGCGGAATGTCGGCTAACTTGTACTGCGGTGGGCTCAAGCGCGTGTAATGAGCAGCATTCCCGAACAATCCGTGGTCAAATTTCTCAAACCGGCCACTTCGCATCACTGTCACACAGCGCCGCAGCAAACAAAGTTAGTTATGTTCCCGACTGAAACTTCTTGGATAATTCAAAACGAAAATTCCTCGTTAGAACGTTCACAGATCCTCGGAGGCATCAGAGAGGGCTAGTGATTCTCGGGAACGGTTTACTGGACTGGATCATGGGCTGAAAACTCACTCTCAGCAAGATGCTGCAAATTCTTCGTGGATGTGGATTGAGGTTCCCATTGCAAATAGTAGGGGACTCGGGAGGTGTTGATGCAGCAACTGGGACCTGTGTTTAATTCACGTTAAACCACGTCTAATCACTGCCGGAAATATGCTTGGATATGCGTGTCTTGTTCGCATGGACTTCAGAATGGTGTCCGTTAATTGAAAGGATCCAAGAAAAACTCAGAGATTGTGCACTTGAACGTTGTTACCTGAAAAATCTAGCAAAAGATTGTCGCAAATCATATTTGGATCGTTGTTAACCAGCCAGGATCCTACCTCACTGAGAACACAGAAGTTGGCGTGTCAGCACGTTTAGAGAAACCGACACCAAACTGCAGGCTAGCGTAGCCTTTCAGAAGAATGGCAAGCACTTCATCTGCATCAGTTTGGAAATTCAAGCAAGAAAAGATTACTTGTTAAGATTGAACTCCCTTGTTCCAAACAGCCCCACAATCTGAAACAAATCATTCAGGATAAGGTTCAGAATTAGCGATTCATGGCACCGGTCTATGGTCCTACGATTGAGTGAAAAATTCGACCGAAATCTAGCAACAGACAAATGATAAACTAATTCAAATCTCAAGCACCTTATCCAACATGAGATCTGCACTAAGAGTAAGCAATGGTGATCTCATGTGTTGCATGTATGCAATTGGGGCAAATAGTACACCAGCCTTCAGCATATTCGTCACTGCTGAATTGTCGTCCGACATTGCAGCAAGCGCCAAGATCGTTCCCTGTTCAAGAAGCAGCATCAGGATTATTAGTGTGATTTTAAAATAAGGAATGAAGTAGTTGAGAAAATCAAAGTGAAAAAGAATTGTATGAAGTAGTAAGCCAGTTGGTGTTACCTGAGAGTGACCCACATAATACAATTGAGATTGAGTGGCACTGGTAACATAGCCGACCAAGGCTGGCAAGTCGGTATCCGCAAGCTCGTCAACTGACCAGTCCCAAAACCTCTGCACATCCATAACATAATATCACATCACAGTCTCAGTGAAGCGAGCAAAACAAACGGTTACAATATTCAACTCCTATCACAGCTTGCTGAACTTGCCTCTTCGTCAAGATAACCCGCATGTGTGTCGGGTGAGGAGCTCTTACCGAATCTGTTGGTGAGAGGTTTTTGTGGCCATAACTAAAGCGCCCCCCACGCAAGTTACCAATCCAGACATCGAAACCTTCATCGGCCAGAATATATGCCAACGATTCCTTCGGGGGATTCAACGCCCAGATATCCCCCCCCTAAATTCCCAGATCATGAATTACACAAAGACGTTAAACGTCAGGCAAATACGAAGCTGCAGCCGGAGTAGTTCTTTCCATCCATACTAATCTAGACAAGCAAATATATTTCTAGAAATTCCTAACTATCAGATTTAGACCTGATAACTTCGCCTTTTTCGAAGTAATTGCACCTGTGTTAAGCCGTGCTGAAGAAACACAGGTAGTTTCTTATGGGTAGAACTGGAACCCACGACCCCGTGTGGAATGTGCTGCAACCCCAACAAGAATCCATCTGATGTGGGAACCTGCATGTTGAACCCAGCCAGTATGTTTGACATCATTAACGACTCAATAGCATGTGTTGGTCATTATCGTTCAATCTCTGCATTCCACGAACCTATTATCCTTAACAAGGTCATGAGACGCATTTCAAGCAGATAATTTATCAGCATTGCTGTCGAGTTGATATCCAGCAGCCTGAATCTTGTCAACACACCGTGATCTCTTCACAAGGATAACCCGCCGCTTTGATAATACTTTCGCAAAGGCCAGGGGCTGTGGAGGAGTCCATGAGTAAGCGGCGTTCTTCACGTCGATCGGGTCCGAATCTCCCTCTCGGCACGGTGACGCTTCCTGGACCCTCCAAACCTCGACTGCAACTACAAGGCGTGGAAAACAACAGCAGTGCCAGCACGATCGCAGCGCCGCAGAAGCGGCCAAACCAATTACCCAACATCGAGATCGATACTAGATTTTCCAATGGACCATGCAGAGCAATCGTCCCACTCTATCGCGACAAAATGTCGTCAATTCCAAGGCAGCTAGGAATTAACGCAGAGGGCTCGATCAGCGCGTGCTAAGGCCTGCGCGGGCGGGATTCAAATGCAACATCAATATCTAAACATCCTCAGGCGAGTTGCGTCAACTATGATTTGGATTCGGTGCCGACACGTGGATTGGCGATTTTCTTGCATGAGTCGCCCAATGTTGATTGATCATGCCTCGAGAGAGTCGTCGCTTCATCACCGACGCGACGAGCGTCGAGGTGCTATCTCGCCGACCCACCGCTTCCTTCGCATGTGTGGGGCTTCTCCGATGTTGACGTCGGCGAATCTACTTTTGAAAATTTTTACATTAAAGTGTGTATTTTCCAAATAAAAATAAAAAAACACAAATACAAAGACAATAAAATAATTTTTTACATCATGTGTATATGTTCTATTAAGTTGGATCAATTTAATTTTATAATTTTTTTTGTTTTTTTGTTGTTTTGGTCTATACTTATTGAAAGGAAAGGCATTATTTTGAGTCCAAATTATGTATATGAAAGCATTATAAAACAAAGACCAAATTGTTTAAAAATAATTAAACATGATAGCAAATCTTTTAAAGATATTATTTCTTCTTTTAAAAACTCTTAGTAAGGTCTTGATATTTGAAGGTTGGTAAGAATTTACATATATATATATATATATATATATATACATATATTGTCCAATCTTAATAAGTATATGTTATTTGGACATAATCTAAAAACATACAATTTATTATTTATAATTTCTTTGAAATATATTTTTTATGTAAGAATAAAATTGCTTTATTAACTTGAATTCTCTAAACATTTATTGCTATACTTCTATCTCTTATAAAAAATAGCTCAAGGGAATAAACCAAAAGAGACAAAAACCATCTTTGATTGGCTATATATTTCATTGTTTTCATCAAAAGAGAAGCAAAAGTGAAGCAATGACTTAACTTTTTAATCAATCAAAGATCAAAATTTGCATTTTGTTACTACAATTTGCCTACAGTAGCACTACAAGATCATTAGGCATGGAAATGAATAAATTCAAGTCTAATTTATTTTGATGTCCTATGTGAGTGTGATTCTTGGACAATTCATTGAAGCTTTAGAGGCTCTATTTGAAAAGCACAATAGCTCTCTAAGATTGATGACAACAATTTGTATGTTTATTAATAGATTTATAAGAAGACAACTTTGAAAGCTTAATGGCAAAAGTTTGGATAATTTTTATAGTATCCAAAGGTGGCACAAACATGTGTATAGGTGGCAAATTTAGAAGTTTAGCATAAGCTAGGTAATATTTTTAAGTATCATATAAACCAAATAAGCAAAACTTCTTTGCATGTTTACAATATAAACTACATGATGTTTTAATTAGGATTGAAGTAAAAGTACAACAAATCTCATTACTTAAAAGTTTTTCCATTTCTACAAAGAGTATGTACTTTCTAAGTCTTTTCAAATAATTTTGGCTCAATGATCCTTCAAACTTTGAATAAAAGAATATAGGTGCAAATTTAGATTTGAATTAAGATGACAAATTCCACCACAAAAGAATTTGAAATAGCCATTATTTTCATATTTAATTTTAATTTTCAGATTCAATTTTATTATTTTGAAAATAAACTTCATATTAAGTTTGGAGCATATAAATTTTTATTTTTGTACCTAATTATAATTTTTGGTAAGTCTTTATTATATTGAAGACTTTTTCATTATGGTCTAATTTGGTAAGATGTCACATATTTTATTAGATATTTTAATAAATTTTAAGTTATAAATTTTTAATTTATAATACAAATGATAAAAGAAAATGATGGTTAATTTATAGATTTAATTGATTTTCTAATATTAAATAAGTTTTTCTATCTCTTAAGATGTTTTTTTTAATGGATTGCATAAATTATTGATTATTGATTATTGATTATAAAATGTTGATTATTGATTATAAAATTTTAAATGTATTTTTTTACTTTTAAGATAAAAAAATTAGTTTTATATCCATATGTTGATATATATATATATATATATATATATATATCACCTTTAATTTTTTACACATGATTTTTTGTGAAGTTTAGTTGCTGTAATAGATACATAGTCATATTTGTATGTTCTTTGCCTTTCAAAAGGTGTTTGTAGTAACAATGAGACTTTTCCCGATTTGTACAAAGTTTTCAAGTTTCTTTAACTTGAATAAGGGATAGTATTTGACAAAGTTATTTTTTTAACTTTCTTCTTATAAATAAATTAAATATTTTATTGTAAATAAAGCAATATAGAATTATAGATTGATTAGTCTTTCACTTAGTGATTGTAAGTCCTATCAATAGATTTTGATTGGTGTATTGGTTAAAAATATTATTTTAAATTATTTAAATATAAAATTTTAGGATTAGAGATTTTTTAAAATATTTAAGTATTTTTTAGAATTTAAAAGGATTTATAAGTTACAAGAGTCTTATTAAAAAATTATAAAATGGAGATTTAATAAGTTTTAGAGGCAATTATCTTAATTATTTTATTATTTTTTAATTATAAAATTAATATTTATTTATTAAGATCAATATCTATATTGACCTTTTATCTATATATATTGCTTATGAAAAAATCTATAAATATGGATTAGTATTTAGAAGTAGCATGAGAAGAATCTCATATTTTTTTAATTATTTGTATAAAAAATAGGATTTTTTGTTGATTTAAATTGATTCTATTACTGTAAGATTTATTAAGGTAGAAAAAAAAATAGCTTTAAGTTGATAATTTTATCATAAAAATATTATAGGAATTTCTAGAATTTATTTAGAATTTATTTAGAAATAATTAAAATTATTTATGAAGTTTTAGAGCAATTGTCAAGATTTTAGTAAAAATCATTTTTATCATTTTGGAAGGAGGGGGCCATTATTAAAAAAAAATAGAATAAGATTTAAAGGCCTTTTTAGGCTCTTAGGCCAATTGGAGTTTTTTGAATACTATAGTATAGTTTAAAATGAAAAAAATATATATTTTACTAGTAGAAAATATAAGGACTAGCAACTAGTGTAGTTTTTATAGGAAGGAAGGTGCACAAGTCTTATATGGGTTGTAACACCTTAGATGTAGGTTGGAGGATAAAACCAAGGCCTTGTGGCCTCTAGAGGACACTCATATATACTACTTGTGAGCCTTAGTGAAATTCAAATCCTTGATTTCATAAGCAAATTATTTTTGAGATTAAACTTATTTACTTAATTTTATTATCATAATTTTTTTATCTTCATATATTCATAACTTAATCATAGTAACTTGGATTTATATGTATTTTTAATGTCATTGCAAATGAAAATCTATCTTAAAACATACTTTTATTTTTATTTTTATTAATAAAAATATAATAAATAGACTATAATTAATTGGTAGTGTATAATTACTTGATTTTAATTTTTTTTACTTATTTTTTGTTAGTTGTCTTTGTAATTTGTTATTTCCTTCTTTCATTTTATACCACCAATTAAAAGCAATTGTTAATTGAAATTATCTTATAATTTGGATTGAAAGATAAATTTTACAATCACATAAATGATGCATTTATTGAAAGGTGGTCCTTCAAACAATGTATGTGAATATAAAAATATTGTGTTTTCATTGGCTTTTACTTCGTCTAATTAAATGAGAATTTTAATTTATTTTTTATCATTCGTGAGTCTTCTATTTTTATTTTTTGTTGGTGCAAAAAAAAACATAATAATTTGTAAATTTAAATGCTAATAAAAAATCCTATTACTAAGTAAAATGTTGAATTGTTCTCAAGTTTTTGTCAATGAGTTTTTATGTATTTTGTTGTTAAGATTGAAACTTTGGTAATAAATGTATCTTTGGTAGTTAATGTATCTTTCTATGAAGGAAAAATACTTTCAATTTAAAAATGTAATAATTTTTTGGTAAATTTTTGAATTCAAGAGAGTTTACTACCTTATCAATTTTCAAAATCCCATCTTTGGAAAAGTATTTTTTAATGCTTGGTGACTATTTAATAGTAGAATTTTTTTATTATAAGCATCTTAAAAATAAATTAAAATTCTCATTTAATTAGACGAAGTGAACTTCTAGTGGTGTAAGTTTCATTGCAATTGCATTGAAATTAATTTTTGAAAATTTTTGAATTGGAAGGAGTTTGTTACCTTTAAGCAAAATACAATCGAGGTTAGTGATTTCTATCTCATCCATCAGTCACCTTGTTATTTTTATTTTTAATCTTTATATTTTAAAATTTTATTGAATTAAATTAAATATAAATAATTTAAATTGAATATAAAAAAAATAAATTTTCTTTAATATTTTATTTAATTTTTGTTTGATTTTATGTTATATTATATTTTATTGTTTTTTATTTTATTTTATTTTCATATCTTTACTGTTTTTTATTTTTACTATTAGTTTTATTTACTACTATTATTTTTTCACATATATGGTAAGTTTTATATACTAATATAAGTTTAAGAATTATTTTTTCATATATAAAACTATTATTGCTAATCTAAAGTGATTTTTTGTTAATTTAGTATTAGTGCAAGTGTTATTTGATTGTCCTAAGTTGTTGGCCTCTTCAAGTTATTGACCTTTCCAACTGGTTGTCAATTACATATACACATATAATATTATTTTTGCTAACTTATTTTTTTAAGTTAGTAATGACTGTACAAAGTAAATATGACCCTTTTTTTTTAATCAAAAGGAAGCATTAGCATTAAATTTTTTTTTTACTAAATCTCTATCTTTTATCTACGTTTCTAAAATAATTTAAAACTACATTTTAAAATAAAATACTTTCAAAATAATGACCTACTTTGAACACCATTTTCTTGTTTCAGCTCAGAACCATTTGGAATTTTTAGAAAATCCCTCTTAGAGAAGGCAAATCAGGTTTAAGAAAAGAAGAACAAAATATGAATTGGAATTATATCCTAACATTTATGATAAGCAACCTCTACCTTAGGTAGATCCCCTTTTTGTTAGATAGATTCCCTTTTTGAAACTTTGTAGTTGCACAAAGCAAGCCAATTAACAAAGTAGTTCACTCACTTATATTAAAAATAATTATAAATAAATAAATAAAATAAAATAACACAGTTTTGTGAGAAAATCACAAAAACTCTATACTCATTATGCTTTAAACACCAAAGCATCAATAAAACTCAATAAAAAATGCACGAAAAAAGAAAATAAAAATAAAAATAAAAATAAAAATAACTTGTAATTTTATTTTAAAATCTAAACAATGTATCATTTTTTTAAAGAGTTTTACAAAGAAACCAAAATAACATTTGAAATAAAAATACTGTTATAAACATAAGTTTATTTATATCCAATTAAGCACAAAGACAGTAGAAATTAGAAGGCATCTGTAGATCTCTTGATGTATTTCGTAGCAGTTTATTCCTCCCTTGACAATCCAGAACAATCTGTCCTTCCTTCCTCTTTTGCCAGCTTTGGTGCTTTGCCCCTCCTGCACGCCCCATTGTCTCCGAATTCGGTGGACTCAGTGGGATCTCACGTAATATTTGTGTCATTCGGATCGTAGAGTCTTCAACTTTAATGCCATTTCGGTCCCTCTTTCTAGTGGAGCCATTGACTCCATCTTAATTGTGCACCACTGCTGTGAGTCCACAGTTACACCCACCAAATGCACAATGGACAGATGAGGAAGACTCATGGCATGACAAGCTGTACTTCTCGTTTCAGCTGAGAACCATTTGGATTTTTTTGTCTATGATGCTGTCCACAGAAAGAGGTGCAGCTTCACTGGGTTGTTTCGTGAACTATGCTCTCGGGATGGTCACAATTTGTTAAGGTTTTTGGGAGCTCAATTTTCACGTATCCAGATACTGAACTCAAACGTTGACTAACCGACAAATAATTGTTTGTCTTAGAAGCAACCTTGTTTTGATTTGCTGTGGTCAGAGCAATTGTCGAATAATCAGCGAAATAAAAACCCATTTTACAGCTTTTAGACTGGAATAGTTGCAGTATTGACAAAGTTGCAACGACACCATTTTCCAAAAGCAGCAAGCATGCTACCATACTGAGACCCATCTGGTTCCTTGTTTCTGTCGTATTCAGGTTCGAGACCCCGAGTTTTTTAGTGGTTGGATCCAGTGTAAGATGATTCTGCACTACCCATCTTAGAAAGCGTGGATTGTGAAATGTTTTAAAAAAGCTTGGCTTTGCCTCATCAATAGGTTGTGGGTCACTGACAGAGATTCCACTGTTCAAGCTATTGCGAGTTGCACGTGTGGGTACAAGGTGAGGTATGGCACAAGTATGACCAAAACAATTGAGATATTGCTTGGTCTGGACAATGCTCTATATTTTTAGTGACAACTACAGCACACTCAGTGAAAACTCATCCCACCAAGACGTAATAGAAAAGAAACAGATCATACCACGTTAGTAACAAAGAAAAACCCTGCATTATCATTTTGTGTTCAAAGGTGATGTTTGCACAATCTAGCAGCAGGAGAGCCTGTTCCAAAATCGAAAGGCAGTTCTAAATGGTTCTATTATAATCCTCGTATTCGTCCCCAAGTGTCTTGTCCCACTGGAGCCCACCTCGTTTGAAGTGATCGAATGGCCGAAGTCCGATTAGTCCACTGTTGCGCAGCTATTTTACAAGTTTATAATACAGGATCTACACATAATATATCATGCCCACCTCAATGAGGCTCATGTGAGGGATGTGAAGAGCCGTTGTCGGCTGCCGGCAATTCCTCCGAAGGAAAGAGTAAAAACAATCGATGATGAACTTCTTCAGCCAAGAGGACGAAGGCTTAGCCTTTACATAAGGGTGGCCCATTACATACGCAACGCCAGCCTCCTTCGCATCAATCAAGTCCATGAGCTCCTTCCGGACCTCAGAATCAGCCTCCATGTCGGTGTCACTCTTGGCGATGTTGAAGTGCACATGCCTCTTGCGCACGACAGGGGGCGAATTAACTCCCTCCCACGACTACAAATTGCACAGATTGTAAAGAAAGAGTCAGTGTTCCTTAGGTCAGGTGGAGAATCCAACAAGATCATCGTGAGAGTTAGCAGATGGTTGCAACAAATTGCAACAGGTGAAAGTTGACGGACTCACCTCCAGGCTGTCTGCGTTGAAGTTGAAATTATATGTGTTTTCTCTCTCGGTCTGTGTCTCTGAAAGGGGAAGTGACAGGCCGGTGTTGGAAGCTGCAAAGCTGGCGCCAAGGGCGCCCATGGCGGTCATGCGCCCATCCAGCGACATTTCGTTGCTAGAAGCGATCCATGGGGCTGAGCCCTCCGTCTGGATGAACTCCGAAAGGTTGTACAGAAGCTCGTTTTCAAATTCGTCTTCGTCGCCGCTTCCATAAGTATCCTTGTAGCCAGACCTCACTACACATCTGCACATGTAGCAGAGAAGCTGATATCACACACATGGAGGGTTAAATTCATCAAAACCAATTACGGCAGGGGCTGTGGATGTGGCAGAAACATGGCAGCAAAAGCAGGGTGACTACCTGTACATGCGGAAATCCCTCGATCCGACTCGCCCAATGAGGTAGCGCTCGTGGGCTGGGACGTAGGGGACGGGTACTGATTTTATGCAAACGAAGACAAGGACTTGATGAAAGGCTGGAAGGTTCGTGACGAAGTGGGAGAAAATGGCAGGCACCCCAGTGACAAGCTCGGTGTAGATCAACCCGATGCCTGGTACGCGGACAATACCAAGGCTTGGGCCCAGACCTAGGAGCCATTTCATGCACACTTTGTTTTGTAGGTCATATTCGTATTTCTTTACGGTGCCATAGTGCCACACGTACATAATGCACATCATGGAGCCGGCCAGCACCAGAGAAACCCAACCCCCCTGCTTAACCTTGTATAGCGCCGCTGATAGGTAAATCAATTCCACCGAGCCGAAAAGGAGGAAGAAGCCCCAAGCCAGAAATGCGCTTCTTTGCCAGACGATTAGAATAACGAGTGTCGTCAAAAATGTTGTCACCAGCATCACCGCAATCACCGCAATGCCTGTGGCAATAACCTCACCAGAATCAATCGAAAACGAGTTTTCAGACATAGCTTCTGACATAAGCTGTTTCCCTAGGAACTGCCAACATAATCAAAGGTAGGTTATCCATGCTTCCCAACTTACCGTAAGCATTTCCAATAGCGATTGTGTTTTGGAATCCGACTGTGACGCTCAAGCTGATAGCGAACATGATCCAGTTGACCTCGGGTATGTAAATCTGCCCATGCATGGTGCTCGAAGTGTGCACCACTTTCACCCAGGGAAAGAACCCTAGCGCCTGGCACTGCTTGATGATAGAGAACGTCGCCGTGATGCTAGCTTGGCTCCCCACGATTGAAGCCAATGTCGCTGTGATTAATGAGAATGACACACGATAGGTTGTTCAGTGGCTGAAAAGAAAACATATTTTTGCAAGGATGAAAGTGAATCGACCAGACGAGGCAGAAAATGAGAGCGAGAGAGAGAGAGAACGCACCAGTGACAAAGACCGGCCAGAAAATAGGCTCTGCATGAATGCACACATAGGGGTTGGTTACTTTCATTTTTTTTTAAAGAAATTGAGTGTGTGATATTTTAAACTCCTCCTGAAACCAGACAGCGCAGAGACATAGTCTATCATGCTGCAAAGACGTAAACAAGTTGCAACACGGCTGCTGGGATTACCTGGGATGGTGCGATAAAACCCATGGTCGACATCGTTAATGTTCTTCGACAAGTACGCAGCTTGGCCCAAGTACCCCAACAGCAGACTAGGGTATATGATGCACGTAAAGGCGACCTTGATAGAGTTTCGAGAGAAATGGCCCAAGTCGGCGTACATTGCTTCCGAGCCTGCAAGTAAACAAACGTAACGCTAAGATCGTCACAAGCATACAACATTCTCTTATTTTGAAACGTTTTTCCCTCATCCTACATTGTGCGTCACTGAATCCAAAAGGTGCTTAATTAATGCGGAGGTTTTGCCGCGACTAGGTTTCAAGCGGTAAATACAAGTATACTGAAATGTGAGAGGTGGTGACCCACCTGTGATGCAGAGGAGAACACCCCCGAGGGAAATCCAGCCATTCTTGCCTGAGACCTTGAAGAAGTGGTATATGTAGTACGGTGAGAGACCGCGCACAATGCTTGGATTGTAGGTAATGAGATTATATACTCCTATGGTGCAATTGCAGAGGAGCCACAGAAGCACAATTGGCGCAAACAAAAATGAGATTCGGTGAGTGCCGAGGTGCTGCAGTCCGAAGAGAAGCACCAAAATGCAGCACGACACCAGCACTGCCACATCTGCAGGCAAATTCCCGTCCCACCATGGCCTGAATTCACGATCCTTCTTAGGGTTCAGATCATTCTAGTCTACCCCCCACCCCGCCTGGAGACCTCAAACATGATTGTTCCATGATTCTTTCGAAAATTTGCAATTGCCGATCATGACTGACGTACTAGAAGAATTTAAGCATTAAGGGTTGCGAAGTACTCACTCTCGGACAGTTGAGGGGCGGCCACCGTAATACCCGAAGTAGCTGACATCACTGCAACAGCCATCAAGCCAACAGGGGACGTGAGATGAGTTGCTCAAGTAGAGATGAGTTCCTCCAGAGCTGGTGCTGCGTTAATCTTATCATGCGTGAGAAGAGTGATTTCCATACCTGCAATAGAAGAAGTGAGGATGCCGTCCCCAATGACCATGCAGGTGCCCAGCAACACAACGATGAGCAGCCCATTCTTCAAAAAGACGTTGTTCTCCAACAACTTGCGCACCTTCTCCCCCCGTGGCGTCTCCGGTGGCTGCTCCAGCTTGTAGGTAGAAAGCTCCGAATCAGCGGTTTGCTGGTTGAGAATTAGGCTCAGCTTAGCGTGCCGGCAAAGAAGGGAGTAGAGTGCGAAAGTGCCGCCTTCGCCGTTGTCATCCGCGCTCAGGACGATGATGACGTATTTGATGACGGCCACAAGAGTGAGTGTCCAGAAGATGAGCGACAGAACACCATGGATCTCGGCTTCTGTGATATGCGAGTGAGGGTCCTCCGAAAACGTGCTGCGGAAGACATACAGCGGGGAGACGCACAAATCACCATACACCACGCCGAAGCTCTGGTACGACAGCATGAGGACTGCTGCCAGCGAGGACTTGTGCATGCGAGCTCCCCGACTCTGCAAAAATCAGACCCCAATTGTTTGCAGCACCAAGAACAGGTCAGATGCATCGATTTCTTCTAGACATTAAACAAGTTCCTCAGTGTTGGAAGATATAAGGAACTAACAGCAGCTGACTCTCTACCAGGAGAATCAATCAATCAATCAATCAACCAATCATGTACAGAGCAACGAAGAGGTCTATGGGCTTCACCTCCGGAGGCCGTTCATCGGAGTCGACTTCCGTATCCATGACAAACGAGTGGCACCCTCACTCTCCCCAACTCCCTCCGTTCCCCTACTTCAACGTGGCAGCGCAATCGCCTCCACACCGACGGACTCAACAACTCATTCAGCATGACCACAACGATCACTGCGCACCGTATAAAAACATAAATAAATAATAATAATAATAATAACGAACCCAAAACCAAAACCTCCAGCACTCCAGTACGCACACTATCACGCTACCACGATGGATCCACACTCACACAAGCTACAGCAGCTTGACCCAGTTCCCGCATCCATCAGTCGCAGTTTACGCTGCTCCCGAGCTGCGCAAATTCAACTCACAATCGACCTCACACTGATCATCTCCCACCAGAACCATGATCTGGAGGTCCACGGATTCTAGACACCAGGCACTCACTCACTCGCCGAATTTGAGAGCTGGGCATCCATCCACCAAGCCTGCCTAGTGTGATCTGACCCCCGGTCTGTTCCTGCTTATATACCTCACGCATTGTTCCCCAATTCACTATGCGAGCGGTTCTCATTTCGGATTCGTAGAATGTGGCGGATGCGCACAGTAACATGACATCGTCCTTTCAAATACTCCATCGTGAGCCCGTGTTTCGGTTGCAGAAAATACTGGAGCTCAAAGGACAATCAGTGTGGGGTCTAGTGGTGGCACCGAAACCTTGCAGAAACAGTGCCCTTTCATGGGTACCAGTGTTAGCACCTTTACTGAGCTTTCTTAGTCCTGCATGTCATGTAGCATTGAAGGCCAAAACCTCACTGCGCTGCACCCTATTAGGTTTCAGCAAAAGCTTCTGGAATGAACAACATCAGCTAGTGGAAATCTAGAAGGAAGAACATCAACTTCGATTGCACTTTGCCATTCATTCATTCTAGTTGGGTTCTGCACGTGACTAGCGAGCACCATCGCCACTGCGACGAGTCACACGTAAAGTTGCTTCTCCGAGGTCTCCATCTTGCTTTCATTCTTTTTCACTGTTTTTTGGTAAACTGCTTGCTAGTCTTTGATTAAGTTCCCCCTTCGTGTTCTTTTTTCCTTAGACAAATAATCAGTATTTGTATATATATGTGTGTGTGTGGGAGAATGTAAAATGGAGTGCGAGTATCTTTGACAGTAGATTGAGTACACATGATGACTTTGAAACCACTCTCAGAACAACCAAAAACAACCCTCAATTTAGGTTTTTTTATAAAGGTTTTTTTTTCTCCTCTAGTCAAGTTCAAAGTCATTGATTTTTTTGACTAAAATATTGAAAAAGTCGTGTGCATTTATGTCACTTTTCTTTTCTTTTCTTTTTGTAAATGATACTTTAAGACAGTATTTACACCTAATATATCTCCAAAGAAATATGTACCCTAAGTGCACTTATTCGCAATCCAAATTACTCCTATACATGCACGTTTTTGTTTCCATGTCACAAAATATCTCACCCACTCATACAACCCATTCTGCTGTCTTTTAATGATATATAATGAGAAACTCTCAGCCTTTTTTTTTGGCTCCATAGAGTGTGAGCCTTACATACAAAATATTAAATAAATAAAATAAAAGAAATAAACATGGCAACACATGTAAGCACATGCTCATGTCACTGCCCAAAACTTAAACAAAAAACCCAGACTTGGGTCCACAAACCAACTTGCATTTTGTTGTTTTCCCCTGCAGGACAAAAGAATGGCCTGGACATCTTGGCTTTTACTTCGTTACAAATGAGCCCACTCAGATTTGCACAGACCCAAAGCACACTACAACTATATATTATTTATATGCTATTTTTTTTTATCTATTTTAAACAAAAATAATAACAAAAGAGATGGGGAGTTGGATTTCTTGGGCCCAGAGTACGACAGTGGAATATTCTTTAACAGATAGTAAGACCATAAGGCAGCAAAAGGGAAAAAAAAGGGGGGGGGAAGAGAAGGATGAGAGAGTGGAGTTACTTATGAGTGAGAGCCTTACATACACTCACTCACCATAGTCTTTTCTTGTCTTTGTTTTTGTTTATTTATATCGTTAATATAAAACCAAAGGAGACAAAAACCATCTCTGATTGGTTACATATCTAATTGTTTTCATCAATGCTGAAGTAACAACTCAACTTTTGATCAATCAAAGATTAAAATCTTCATGTTAATTCTGTAGATTGCCAAGAATAGCACTGCAAGATCACTAAGTGTAGAGCTCGGAAGCTCATAATTGTAATTTTCAGTAATTTTTTTTTTTTGTAGCCAACTGCACAGATTCCAATTAGTTAGTATATGTATACATGTATAATTTATTCTATATATATATATATATGTATATGTATATTTATATATTTATTTATTTATTTTCCTTGTGTCTGCCCTTGTGTTGTATGGTGGAGGTGGTGGGGGAGCAGGTTGACTTGAGGATGAAAGTAGTGCATTGGGTCTGAAAAGTGTCACTAACCACAGGGAGATCCATCAACCTTTTGTGTGAGCTGACTGCCGTCTTCTCCTTTTTAGTTTTT